GGATGTGCAGTTTGCAATCACTGGAGATGCCGGAGTCTGAGCACCATTTGATGACAGCATTGAGCGTGGAGTCGTGGCCGGGGGCGTTGCAAACAACCCAGAAACACATCAGAGGATGGAGGATAGGTCTTGAGGCGGAAATGGGATTTCCCGTGAGCGAGGCTTACGGTCTGCCAGTAAATGCAATCCTTGGTGGGATCAGTAATGGTCAACCTATGTGGGAGCCACTATCTATAACACATGGCGATGGTAGATGTATCCAGCCATAGGATATTAGTAGAAAAAGCCTTCTCGGTACCCAAGTGCGTACAACTGGCTCGAATGTCGCATCATTCACATAGGCTGTTGAAAAAAAAACCTGGGAACTGTGCCAAGGGAACAAAGAGATGACTTGAGTGAAATCTGGGGAGACGAACTCTTGAGTTTGGAAGGCGAAAACACAAGTGATTTCGAGACACAGAATATCACCCGAAAGCCGATGAATAGTGTCCCAGCACAGGAGGAGAATGATACAACACATGAGAAGATGATGGAATTTGAACCTCTGCTGGAAGCTTCGGGAGAAGGCAATCTCCGGAGCATCGACATTACACTTGGGGAATGCCCATGCCATTGCTTGGCGCAGACAGTGTGGTACGCAGAACACTCAAACCTTTGTTTAGTGTGAGACGTAGAAGAAATTGGTGGGTGGCTCTGGAGACAATGAAGGAACTGGAGTACTGTCTGAAAAAAATTCGATGGTGGAGTGTCCCGCAAGCGTCGCAATCAATTGGGCTACCCAACAAAAAGCCGAGGTTAACAAATTAGAATTGGGAAGTCAGCTGAAGCGAACTTGGCAGAACTTGTTGCGGGATCACTTCGAGGAGGCGATGAGAACACCTCCGTCCGCATTGCCATTGATGGCAATTCCCTTCGTTAGAACAGCGGTACAGCTGACGTTCGCATGGAGCCTGGTGGGAATAGAATTGGAGATATTGACCTCACACGATAATTTGAAGTTGGGCAACAAGAGTCTAGAAGTTTACCAGAAGCTGGTACAGCATATCGCCAAAGATAATTTCGGTTTGAGTCTGGCGAGAAGAAAAGATGCCACTTGTTTCTTGAGGTGGATATTGTCCGTAATGACCAATAGTACCGTCCAAGCGTGTCATCAGAAGCACTGGGGAGCAAAACTTTGGAGAGGAGAGTCTCCACTATCATACTGAACGTGAGGCGGAGAGCATATTTGTGATAGACGATCATGTGTTAGAATACAGTCTTTCCAGAAAGAAGACCTAGTCGCTTGTTTGGCGACGTAACAGAAAGAGAGAAGAGCGAAGTGAAGACAGTGGCTGAGTGCTACACAAACACTACGGTGAATATAGCAACGGAGGTGGGATTCTTCTCAAGGATGTGCAGTTTGCAATCACTGGAGATGCCGGAGTCTGAGCACCATTTGACGACAGCATTGAGCGTGGAGTCGTGGCCGGGGGCGTTGCAAACAACCCAGAAACACTTCAGAGGTTGGAGGAATGGTCTCGAGGCTTACGGTCTGCCAGTAAATGCAATCCTTGGTGGGATCAGTAATGGCCAACCTATGTGGGAGCCACTATCCATTACACATGGCGATGGTAGAAGTATCCAGCCATAGGATATTAGTAGACAAAGCCTTCTCGGTACCCAAGTGCGTACGACTGGCTCGAATGACGCATCATTCACATAGGCTGTTGAAAAAAAAATCCTGGGAACTGTGCCAAGGGAACAAAGAGATGACTTGAGTGAAATCTGGGGCGAAGAACTCTTGAGTTTGGGAGGCGAAAACACAAGTGACTTCGAGAGACAGAATATCACCGGGAAGCCGATGAATAGTGTCCCAGCACAGGAGGAGAATGATTGGCGCAGACATTGTGGTACCCGGAACACTCAAACCTCTGTTTTGTGTGGGACGTGGAAAAATTAGGTCGATCGGATTACCCGATGATCGACAGAAGGTGACCATCTTGGTAGTGAGCACGATGTTGGCGTTGCGATGGATCGGAGAGAATGTGACGAAATACCGGGAATCGAAGAAACCAACGGTTGAATCGATAAACACTATTGATTATAGCAGGAGACTAGAGTTGTTTGAGACGGCGTGCAAGGTATTCGCCATACCTATGGAGGTCAGGCACATTTGGAGCCGCACAAGGTTCTTCCCGTAGTTTCCGAGCGACATTGACATCTTGGTTGTATATGGTGACGAAAGACCACATGAAAAAACATCGTAAAGAATATCGACAGTTTCTGGCAGAGATAAGACCGGAAGCCTTCAAGAAACCTTTGCTGACCCATCAAAATGCGATCACGACGGGTTGGAAAAGAGTCGGTAGGGTGTCTAGAGACAATACCAAAGCGAGAGAATCGAAACTGGAGGAGGACTTGGCAAAGAATGTGAGCCTGAGCCTGCATAATTCCTTTTGCTTGAACAGGGAATCGAAAGTGAAAGGTTTACCAAATCAGGCAAAGAGGTTGCAAGAGCAGAGGGAGTGGATATGACCCTTCGAACAACTAAAAGCGTGGGAAGAGATCGTAATCAGCTCCGATAATGAGGAAGCGCTGCTAAAGCAGATCACGGTGTCAAACTCGTCAGGGCCTAGCACCTCAAATAGAAATACGAAATGAGCAGTGGGCTCAATGAGGGTTTCTTGAGTCTTGAGAAGGAAAAAGGGGGCTCGAGTGTGAACTCGGATGAAATCCGAGGTCACGAAAAAGAAATTTTAACGAAACGAAATATTATTATTAATATGTTATAACTATTATATAAATCAAAATGCTGCATGACAATTTTCCGACTGGATAAAACAAAAAACATTTTAGTCATTAGCTTCAAAAGCGGAGATTCAAGGTGCAGGTGTATGCAAATTTTGATTGCTGTTCAGCGATAGTGTGACAATTTTACATGGTTGTGAATTTTGGGTCGTAGATAAAGTTTAATCTGATGAAAACTTCTGTAAATGACCACTGGCACTGTATCTTGAGCAAAACTCAACGTTCTGGGGGTTCACTGGCAGACGGCAACTCGCGATCAGGACATCGATCTTGAGTCCGGGGAGTATGTTCCAGATTGTCATATTTGGAAGTTTGACCTTGAGCAATACAAACAACGTAACTTTGGGTGAAATGTAATTTTTCAAAAATACGAATCGAGCCTGTCATGCTCAATTTTCTCGCGACAACTGAAAATCTCAGATATGCAAGATCAGAGCAACTGAATTACAATCGCGGGAAAATAGTCGAAAAAAGCAGCGGGAAATTGCTATTCGCAATTTCCAGATATAAAAATCACACGAGAGTAGAGCTGTCCTATCCTGAAATAGGAGACAGAACGATTACGAAAGAAGTGTATATTGATTCGAAGTGGACCAGAGTGAACCTTCGGTGGAAAGGTGGACAACCGAAGTCTCCCAATGGTCCAACCCAAAACTTTAATTCTCAAGTGCAAACTAATTTCCTTTACTGGAATTTTTTAATAGCAAACTTCTCAAGTTATTACCTTTATGCTAGAGTCGCTAGTGAATTTAGTTACTCCAATTCTCGAGTGTGCTGGTATGTGAGTACCCAATTTAGTTTTCTTGAGTGTGTTTTATAATTGTTATGTTGAGGTAAGGAGAGTTTTAGGTTGATCCATCTGAAATGGATCAAAGTTCCACATTCTAATAAAAAGTAACTATACGGACTGTTCCGACCCTGTTTTTAACGGCTTTCGCGTATTTTGGGTGTTTTGAGACCTAAGTATGGGGACGTTCTTATTTTCTAGAGCGGTGGGGGTATTTTGGTAGTGGCCTTTAGGCTGTAACGAGGGTTTTAGTCTCATGTCGCAAGTGAACCGATATGGCTTCGACCGTTCCAGGAGGAAAAACACAAGAGATAGTGTCCCTGACTTTTGAGCCAATAGTTATAGGGCCTATTTTTCTTTAACCTCATATGTGAATTAACTAGGCGACTGTTGCAAAACTTAACACTTCCAAATTTTAATTTCTGGATCATAAGACCATGGTCAAATCTTAGGGGACTGAGCAGATGAACCGACTTCGTCTAGCCCTCTGAAAGTTATAACCTTTTGAGTTCTCGGCGATGCCAAAAGGTTAAACTTAATCGAGCGTGGTGGGAAAAAAAGAATTTTTTTTCTTTCTCTTTCTGTCTCGATTTTGATTTTTCAGTGTCGGATCAAAAATTCGAGCTCAAAACTATTCCAACGATCTCATATAATTGTTTGTAGCTTCAGTGTACATGGGTTAATCATAAGTTGAAAGTTTGAGGGGTCCCGAATTTTGGCTATTTTGGACTAAAATTGGCCTAAAAGCTGGTTTAGGTTGGTACAATTTTTTTTGATATTTAAAGAGAAGTGTGCTGCCTTCCGTTGTCGCAGATGGCATTCAAAGATAGCTTATCAAATAGATTCGATTATTTAAATAGATTCGAAGTCAACCGTAAGTCAGTGATAAGCAGACACGACGAGGAGCGGAATCTCATTGAAGCAAGTACACCTGTCCATAATACCATCATTAAGGAGCAACGTTTTGGGAACCTGCAGCCTGACCTGATTATCCAAAATAAAAAAAAGCAATCAACCCTCGTCCCCGATATCAAAATTTCAGCTGAAGCCTCAAAAACCCAAGAACAGAACGACACTGACGTGGCAACCAAATATTGAGCACTGAGATGTGCTTTCAACATTTACGGCCAAAAAAACTTCTAGAACCCTTTTTTGAATGAATACTCAACTCAAGAAGGAAGAGCAACAACCTTGTGAGGAAATTGGCCAATCAAAATGTCCACCCTGCAGGGAACCTTGCAGTTGGACACAACACCGGAAACGCGCAAAATTTTTAGATTGTGATCTACAAAAATTTATCTTTACCGAAGGCTTTTCGCGGTTTTAAAAATCTCAGATGTTGATCATCTTCAATACAAGCGAAGATTTTCAAACTTACTATGATTTCAAACTTTCATTCTCTACTATTCTCAGTGTCCTTGTAAACACCCCTGTTTTGCTTATTTTACTTCTGCTGAAATAAATTTTTCATCTGTTCTGGTCAGCTTAGTATCTGGCATGCTGGGCACTGCCTGGCACCAATATTAAACTGATTTTACTTTCCGAGTTGACAACGAAGCTTGCTTCAGTTGACTTACGGATTATACGGTTTTACACTACCAACGACTATAGTCCACCTTCAAATTCTTAACAAGCACTATGCAATTTACCATGAAAAGCTCGTTGATGTCAGCAAGAAGAGCCCAGTCGAGCCTGATGAATTGCACAAACGGTCAAAGCTCGCCTGAAAACTTTAAAATCTCCCGGATTTACTAATTGAATCGGTAGATAATTGTCGTATCTAGGGGAACTCGGCAAATGAAGCGATTATGTTGAGCCAAATCAAAGGTGTAAGCATTTGAAATCTCGGTGATGTCAAAAAAATAAGCCCAACCTAGCCTGGTGAACTGCGCGAACGGCCATAACTTGCCCAAAAAACTTAACACTTCCAAATTTTAGTTTCTGGACCATAAGACCATGGTCAAATTTTAGGGGACTGAGCGAATGAACCGACTTCGTCTAGCCCTCTGAAAGTTATAACCTTTTGAGTTCTCGATGATGCCAAAAGGTTAAACTTAATCGAGCGTGGTGAATAAAAGAATTTTTCAAGTTTTTTTTTCTTTTTTTTTCTGTCTAGATTTTGATTTTTCAGTGTCGGATCAAAAAGTCTAGCTCAAAACAATTCCAACGAGCTGAAATCGTTGTTTGTAGCTTCAGTGTACATGGATTAATCATAAGTTAAAAATTTTGGGGGACCCGAATTTGGCTATTTTGGACGAAAATTGGCCTAAAAGCTGACTTTAAGTTGGTGCAATTTTTTGATAAAAGAAAAGTGTTCTGCCCTCCGTTGTCGCAGATGGCATTCAAAGAAAACCTATCAAATAGATTCGAATACTTAGATAGATTCGAAGGCAACCGATAAGCAGACACGACGAGGAGCGGAATCTCATTGAAACAAGTACACCTGCCCATAAAACCCTCATCAAAGAGAAACGTTTTGGGAATCTGCAGCCCGACCTGATTGTCCAAAACAAAAAAGCAACCAACCCTCATCCCCGATATCAAAGTTTCAGCTGAAGCCTCAGAAACCCAAGAACAGAACGAGACTGACATGGCAACCAAATATTAGGCGCTGACATGTGCTTTCAACATTTTCGGCCAAAAAACTTCTCTCCATATTTTTCAACTTGGAGCCCTAGGAAAAGTTCGACGATGCACACGAACCCTTATTGAACGACTGCTCAACTCAAGAAGGAAGAGCAACAACCTTGTGAGGAAATTGGCCAATCAAAAATTCCACCATGCATGGAACCTTGCAGTTAGACACATCACCGGAAACGCGCAAATTTTTTCGATTGTGATCTACAAAAATTTATCTTCACCGAAGGCTTTTCGTTGTTTTAAAAATCTCAGATGTTGATCATCTTCAATACAAACGAAGATTTTCAAACTTGCTATGATTTCAAACTTTCATTCTTCACTATTCTCAGTGTCCTTGTAAACACACCTGTTTTGCTTATTTTACTTCTGCGGAAATAATTTTTTCATCTGTTCTAGTCAGCTTAATATCTGGCATGCTGGGCACTGCCTGGCACCAATATTAAACTGATTTTTACTTTCCGAGTTGACACCCGGATTATACGGTCTTACACTACCAACGACTACGGTCCAACTTAAAATTCTTAACACGCACTAAGCAATTTACCTTGAAAAGCTCGTTGATGTCAGCAAGAAGAGCCCAGTCGAGCCTGATGAATTGCGCGAACGGTCAAAGCTCGCCTGAAAACTTTAAAATCTCCCGGATTTACTAACTAAATCGGTAGATAATTGTAGTATCTAGGAGAACTCGGCAAATGAAGCGGTTATCTTGAGCCAAATCAAAGATATAAGCATTTCAAAGATATAAGCATGTCAAAAGTTAAGCCTAATTGAGCTTGGTGCAAAAGATTCAATGGGTCAAGTTTTGGTCAAAACATTAGATAACCGAAAATTTTCTTTCCTTTAAATTTGAATTTTTTCGTTTTGTTTCATAAATTTGAGCTCAGGAAAATTCTAACGAGCCCAAAACGACGTTTGTAGCTTAAGTGTACGTGGAGTAATCATCAGTTGAAAATTTGGGGGGACCCGAATTTCGGGCATTTTGGACAAAAATCGGCCTAAAAGCTAACTTTTAAGTTAGTGCATTTTTTTTCTTGCGTTTTTCAAGAGAATTGGGCTGCTCTCCGCTGTCGCAGAGTGCATTCAAAGAAACTTATCAAAGAGATTTGAATACTTACCTATTTAATAAGTTTATCACAACAATTAGGCTAAAAGCAACTGACAGTATCTTGGCTGGTATTCAATCATATGCCACTTACAGTGAATGTGCGGCTATCATGCCATAGATGGTCATTCAAGGCACCTTGTACACGCTCCATAGGTTTTGACCAGCCGATTTGGCCATAAAACACATTGGGCAAAAAAAATTCCAAACAATGTCAATTTTCAAAATTTTGTTTGAAATGCATAAATTATAACGTGAGCGTGCAAAATTTTACATGGTATAAGAGCATATTTTTACTCTCGCGCGAGGGCGAGTGTTTTAAAACTAATGTACATAGACATATGCTAGTAAGGATATAAATGAAAGCGGAGTAACTCAAATGCCTACGACCATACCATGTTGAATGCACCGGTTCTTGTCCGATCACCGAAGTTAAGCAACATTGGGCCTGGTTAGTACTTGGATGGGAGACCGCCTGGGAACACCAGGTGTTGTAGGCTTTTATTTAAAGCAAAAGTTTTTCTTTTACTTTTATACACTAAGAGTTATTGCTGTTTAAAGTTCGGTGATGTCAAAAAGTTAAGCCTAATCGAGCGTGGTGCAAAAATTTTCAATGGGTCAAATTTTGGTCAAAACAACAGAAAACCGAAAAATTTCTTTTGCAGTATCAATTTTGTGTACAATCAGCTGCTGATAGGCCAAAAATAATGGAGATAACTTTTGGGGTCTTTGAGTTATAGCCTTTTTAATTTCGGTGATGTCAAAAAGTTAAGCCCAATCGAGCCTGGTGAATTGCGCGAACGGCCATAACTTGCCCCAAAATTTTAAAATTTTCAAATTTTATTATTTGGATCATAAGATCATGGTCAAATCTTGGGGGAATGAGAAAACGAACCGATTTCGTCGGTCCAACACAAAGTTATAAGCTTTTGAAATCTCGGTGATGCCAAAAAGTTAAGCCTAATCGAGCGTGGTGCAAAAAATGAAAATAAAATTTTTGGTTTTTTTCGTTCAAAGTTCATTTTTTTTTCATCTTGTTTCATAAATTTCAGCTCAGGACAATTCCAACGAGCCCAAAACTACGTTTGTAGCTTAAGTGTACGTGGAGTAATCATCAGTTGAAAATTTGGGGGGACCCGAATTTCGGCCATTTTGGACGAAAATTGGCCTTAAAGCTAACTTTTAACTTAGTGCAATTTTTTTTCTTGCATTTTTTAAGAGAATGCTGTCGCAGAGTGCATTCGAAAAAAAAGTTGAAAAACTTGATTTGAAACAATTTTCACTCTTATAAATTTCAGTTAACTTCGGATGGATGCGACCCGTTGGGTGTTTTAGTTATATTATCAGTTTCTCATTTCACCCATGAATATGGTTGTTAAGAATCTATTACTAACCAGTCATACTCCATCATAACTTACCTTGATAATATGTGTTTCAACCACTGTCAGAAGCAATGTTTTATAGCATCTTTTGAGCCCTGATTGTTCCGACTGCCTTTTCAGGTCTATGACAGTTTTTTTTTGAAAAATTTGATGCAGTTTCCAGAAACGAAATCAGAAAATTTATAAAAAAAATTTTACTTTGAGAGTTTTGTTTTCAAAATAATTTCCCACACTCTAAGTGAAGTGCAGTGTGATATAAGTCGCCTATTCGCCTTGGTGTTCAAAAACCCAAATTGCATGCCGTAATTCAATTTGGAACGATTTGACGACGGACCAAAACTTAGCCTACAGGTTAATCGTTCCAGATATCGGGAGTTAATTGTCATGTTTCAAACAACCATAACTTTACAAAAAAGGTAAGGACAACAATAATTTCCAGATGATTTGAGAAAGTTTTGACCGAATGGCTGGTTGAAAAGTCTGGAGAAAAAAAACAGCCCGAGCACGAAAATTTCTTCACATTCTTCGAGAGTCGGAACAATAATATGATCAGTATTGGACTGAATAATTGTGCGAACCGATTTGACCGAAACTAGATAGCGTGACAAACTAGTCTCATCTCAGATTTCATACCTTTCTACCCTTCACAATCGGCTTTGCTTCCAGGTTTGATAGATCATAAATATCAATTGACATAATCTAGTTCAAAATAAAAACAATTCAAAGTTACTTTTATCCAGCAATTGTGTATGAAAAATAATTAGCTTCCTTTTCTAACTAAATTAACCCAAAAATAAAGATAGCACCTAATTTTTGGTCTGATAGACAAATTGGATGATAGAGTAACAAGATATAAATTATAATTGTGTAGAAAATCATTGTCAAATCAAATTACTTTACACTATGTAACACATCAGCTAAAATAAAAATTCAGGCAACAATTGAAATATCATTTCAGGTAAAATAATCTACATCGGGGTCTACGTATGCCCCCCCCCCCCCCCCACCTCCTCTTGAATGTAATAATTTGCCACGCCAAAAACGGACTAATTCGGCGATTTAGCCTATGCGAGTTGGTACCTTGAAGTGAATTATTCCCTTTTTGCTACGAGGGAAAAACTCATTAAAAATAAAAAGAACTATTTATATTTTATCAACGTTATAATATTTGAGTATTTTTGAGTCAATTGAGTACTTCTTGAACAGTTTCCATTTTTTCAGAGCAAATGTGGAGTGGAGAAGTTTTGGTTAATTTCTGCGATGTACTTGCGATGTTTATTGTACGCATTGTACAATTCAGTTCCACTCTTGTACAGTCTCGACGAGACAGTCGCTTCGTGTTCGGCCGAGAGAGAGGCGGCAGCGGCAGTCGTCTTGCTCCGACACGCTTTCTCTTCAGTACTCAGAGACAGACTCCTCGTTTCTATTATCAGCATCACAAACGGCATCAAATTAACATTTCGAAATATTCAACTTTCCCGACATTTTTTAAATGCCAATACCAAAGATGCCATCATCATCAAGGGCGGATTTGGGGTGGGGGAGGGTCAGACGCCCCCCCCCCTCAGGGATTCGATCCCCTGCCGAACCAATGAGTCTCCCTTTTATTAGGAGATATTCATTTTTGGTCACGGAGCCTAAAATTTTTCTAATGGCGCCTTCGGCGACAATATATACTAATTTTGAGGGGGGAGCGCGCGCCGAAAAAACGCGATTTTTTGGTCAACATTTTCGAAAAAGTGCCTAAACACGCTTTTTTCGGCCTGTTTTTTCAAAATTTTGCCTGCGGCACAGAAATTTTTGCCAAAACAGGGTCTTTGTAATGCTTGAGAGTTCTCGGAAAATCAATTTGGTCGACCTAAAATAAAGATCGACAAAACTTTCAATTTTTTTTGAAAATCCGCCCCCTCTCGAGAAAATCCTAGATCCACCCCTGTTCACCATCGAATTGAAATTGAAATAGCCGTGGTCGGCCAGCAAGCCAAAGTTAATATAACCTTTCCGACAAGCCTAAAATTATCAGATTGTCAGTGTTGTTATGCAATTGTTACGTAATTCTGATGTAACTTCGGCTGCAAGGAATGGCGGTTTGCTGAACATGCACCAAAAAAAAAACTGTCGGAATGTATGCTAGCACAACTGTTTGGTAAGTGTAATAAAAATTGAGTTGGAGGAAAGAATGTTAATTTGAACCCCCTTTCCTTTAATTTGTTCCTGCCATTTCTGCAAAGCAGCTGACGACTCCAACACGCCATTGGATTGAGCGAGTAACTTCACATGCATCTCACTGAAGGATAGGGAGAGGAAGTGGTGGTCGCAGATGGACTTCGGCTTCAGTCTCGCAGAGGGGGGACATCTCACCCCTTGCGATATCAGTTCACAGTGGGCTATTTTCGCACTGCTCGGCCAAGCAGCACCTGAAACGAAAGAAAAAGATAAATGATCTCTTTGTACTCATTTAGAAGTATAGAACCGAAAAATTATTAATGGTATCAAATTTAAGTCAGACAGAAAAGCCTTTAAAGGTAGTTTCTATGTTTTTGATAATCTTTTATATTAAATGAATGTCGAAATGCACCACGGTCGCAATGTTTAAATGAGTTCAATGTCTTACTTTTGTTTAGCGCAACGAGCAAGAAAACCATTTAGGCTCAACGTTTAAGGAAGGCCAATAAAAATCTAAAGTCTGGAATAAACTAGAAATTTTTTCAGAAAAAAATCGAATCTTTAGGCAAGATGAACTCGATTCAATTTCAAGTCTAGAGAATTCCGGTCAAATTTTTAGCAGAATTTTTGCCTACTCAGATTCAATTCATTCTAAAACGAACTAACTAGAAACAGTAGAAAACACCTTGCTTAGAAAAATTATCTTTTTTCGAACCGATTCGCTCTGTAATAACTTGAAATATTTCTCAGTTTTATCCCGTGAATAACTTGTTTCAATTAAAAGAAAACGTACGTGGCAATTCTAACGAAGCAATGTTTAGAATTTGTCTTTTAAATTCATCCACTTGAAGTGCTTCAAGAATACTTAAATGGGTTTTTGAATGGGTCTCATCAAAAACGGCGTGATCATACTTCTAAATGAGTACCTATCTTTTCACCTTGATCACAATTGATTTGGTCAATTTCTGTTGCATATTCAAAATTCTTTAGCAACGAAATGGCATTTCCCAATCATGTACAGACCGATAGTTCACAATTTAGATTAACGAATTCGGATTTAGCTGTCGGTTCTGCGATTCGCAGAGGATCTATGAAAGTCTTTGCAGCATGACTGAGCATAGTCCGTTTTTTTCCCACATTCCAGACTGAGTTAATTTGTTGAGCGAAGCTCTTTTTGTGCGAGTCAAGCTCTTTTTGTGCGAGTCAAGCTCTTTTTGTTGCATCTAGAACTTTCACGTAATACCACTATTGCAACCGAAATCTGTCAGGCGGTGCTAGACTCGAAGCTGGAGGTCAAAGGAGCGCGCGTCTTCTCACACTATCAATGCCATGGCAGCGGATCGAATACATAATCTGACGATCACGAAGTGAACTCTCTTCAGCAGTGCTGAGATCCTCTTTTGATATTAATAAGAATTTTCAATTAAAAAAGCTGGATGAGCCACTGAATTTGGCTCACAGACAACGATATAGTGATAAGAAATAATAAAATTTCAAAGTCAAGTCATTTGAAACAACTTACAGTAAATCTAAAAAAAAACATTTCCTTGCTTCAAAAATTAGAGTGACTCTTATTGCGGGAAAAGGCAAACACTCGAAATTCAGGGCTCCAATGAGCTGTTCACACGTCCCCACGTTATAAAACATAGGCGCTACGCGCAATACACCGAAGGCATAGAAACTGAAGCAAAAACCAAACAACTTGAACAACTAATTAAATAGACATGAAAAAATATATATGAACAAATAACCAAACAAACAGACCCATAATATGAATAAATGAAAATAAATAAATGAAATAAATACACATACATAAATAATAAAAGCAAAACTAAATGAAAGAAAGAATAATTAAATAAATGTAGAAATAAATATCAACAAATAAACAAAACACACCTGATAAATAAATAAGCAATAAAAAAATAAATCAATACATAAATAAATAAATAAATAAATACATAAATAAATACATAAATAAATAAATAAATAAATAAATAAAAGCAAAAGTGAAATGTACAAATAATTAAATAGACATGAAAAAATATATATGAACAAATAACCAAACAAACAGACCCATAATATAAATGAAAATAAATAAATTAAATAAATACACACGCAGAAATAATAAAAGCAAAACTAAATGAAAGAAAGAATAATTAAATAAATAAACAAAACACGTGATAAAAATAAACAAAAATAAATATGTACATACATAAATTATAAATAAATATAAGCAAACTAAACATAATTAAATAAATAGAAGAACAGATAATTAAATAAATAAAGATGAACAAATAAAGAAACAAACATACGCAATCACGTGACATAGCGCGATATAGTCCAGCCCACATGATAATTGATAACTGTGGACGTTATTTGTCGACACTTGACAACAGACAACATTAAAAAAAAAAACCCGTAACACGATACCATAACACCTTGACTAAAGTCTTCGGTGTAAACAAGTCCCCGAGCATGTAATTCTTGGGGTCGTGATTGATAAAGATCTTAAGTAGATTGGTCATATGAGCGAAAAATGCCGAAAAGTTTAAGTGCGCTAGCTATGATAAAGATAAACTCCCCGAAAATAACGTTCAAATTTTAGCTGCAAATCTAAAGAGTCTGGTTCTGCCCATAATTGTTCATGCATCACCCTGCTTTCAGCCGAATATTACAGGATTTCGATGACCTGAAAGAGTACAGAAGACAACAACACGTTAGATTAACGGATGTCGTGACTAATTGGAAGATCTGAAGAAGGCAAATTTTCTTGCGCTGAGTTTATACCTTTCAATCTCTCCAAATTAGTTCAAAATAACTATGATATCAACATACAAGACAAAGTGACTTTCAAACAGACGTCTGCCGCGACCAGACTTGCTCAGGGCACACAGTTCATAGTACCGATTTCGAAACGGAAGCTTGCCGAAGCGAACTTCTAGATAAGAACTCCTAGACTTATTAACAGAACTGAACAAGAGGTCGACTTTTTCAACAGCCATGGTCTCAAATCTCGAGTTTTAAAATACCTTAGGGGGTACTTTGACTCCGGCTACTCAGAGATAGTATCAAGTCTATGGAAACTTTTAACTGACCTAAACTGTGAAAAACACCTTCAGACTCGCGCATCTAGTCTGTTAAATCATAATAATAATAATATTCATAAAAAGCATAAAAATAATCATAATAATGATAATAATCATACCATAATAATGCATAATTGGCTTCCGAAAAATCGACTTTTAGAACATCTTTTTTATCCCCTCTAATCCTATTTGGGGTGGGTTGGGATTGTACCGTTTCTCCAAAATATCTTTCGCGACAAACTCAACTTTTCTTTTGATATACATGTCATACATACTTATCAATTCATCTGAAAAATGAGACCGAATTCAACTATCACGTATTTTAAATCAAAGCTCGATCGGAACGAAAACTCAAAAAATAACAGTTATGACATGTATACGTGTAATGCTAAACGTCACGCCCCCTTCCCCCCCTTCACCGTCAATTTACCCCACCTTGAGGATTTGTGCCCCCACCCACAGGTGGATTGAGGATGACACTTTGTATGGCCTCGAACCACTCGTCTCTCTGTTTGATGTCCTTCGATCTCAACTCGTAGACTTTCATCTTACTCTGCTGGTCTGTGCTCAGTCGCAGCACAAACGGGTAGTCACTGCTACGAAACAGAACAAAAAGATAAAACTCAAAATTCATATTAATCAGTTATCTTTAACATCGAGAAGTTTGGGCTATTTTCTGTTATACGGCCCAAAAAGTTTTTTTTTGCCATTTTGAAGTTCGATCATGACGCTCTAATTTGATTGGTTGAAACTATTATCAGCAAAAAGAATTCGCAGCATTTTCATTGAAAACAGAAGCTCAATTAACATTTTTATAATTTGGGCCGTGAACGCAAAAGACCGGAAGTTTGTGAACAAATCGAGAAACGGTGTCCCGCAAATAAAAGGACAGCTGCTAAGACGACATTCACTTTTCATGGGACTTTCAGATGACACTGCACACAAACTCTCCAATTGTGTTTCTGAGAAAAACACAAATTTAAATTCGACTTGATCAATTTACTGTTTTAATGCTCATTTGACGCCCCGTTGTCTTGTCTTAATGGGCTGTCATCTTTATTAACAAGCAGCTCGAAACACGCAGTGTCGAGATGTAAAAAACCTTCGAGACGCAAAATAAGCTGTTGCTTATCTGTTATGAAACAAATGAGAAAAACTCGAACTAAACATGCATTTGAAAACATTTTCAAGCTAATGTACAGTTTTTATTATTTCATTCGTTTTGTTTGATTGTTCTAGAAAATATTTTGCACTATTTTTGCAAATTAAGACTAGTTTTTCAAATATGGCACTGGGAATTAACTAGTTTTTCAAATAAGGCACTGAGACATGTTGCACACATGTTTTTTCTTTGTAAAACCTATAATTTAAAGAGGTTGTTTTTATTTTCCCTCCACCTCACATGTGCATCCATTTACTGGTGTAACGAGTGGTTTTAAAAGGCTAAGTATGAAGACCAAGTATAATTATCATGTCAAATATAATCTGTCCGCATGTCAATTAATGAAAAAAAATCTTCAATCGCAAATGAAAAGAAACACTCTGAGTCGATGAGAAAAGGAAACAAGACTGCTCGTATATCAGGACAAAACCCTGAATGTTCCGACGGTCCCTTAATTCATAACGAATAGTTTTTGGGAACAGAAAGTATTGAGAACCAATAATTTTTGGACTAAATCAAAGAGTAAAATTTTGAGTCGTACTAAATTAATATGACCAATTAGCTAGCCTCAATTCACTTTGGAACAATTTCGTTGTGCGGGATATTTCGCCACGCATAAATAATTCGCGTTACGCTCTCAGCCTTATGAATAACTTCTTCAAAGCGCACATAATTTAGTCCAAAAAATGGCAAATTTGGCAATTTTCAAACCCCCAGAACTTTACAAAAAAAAATCGGAGGTAAAATATCTTTTTAAGTTTGAACTCAGGAATCCGATATTTTCAATGGGTATAAAAAATTTTCTCGAAATCTTTAATTTCGATCGGTGAAAATTGACTGAATAGAAAAAAAACACACCGAGCATAAAAATTCCGTTTTCTTCGAAAATCGGAACAAAAAGTCACCAAGGATTCGACGCAAGAGTTCCGAAGTGCACAAAAGCAGATAAGATATAAAAAAGATTTAAAAGCAATAAGGACAAGGTAGCGTAATCAGGGAATCGTAAAACAATTCAGGAAGAAGTTAGTGCAGTTTTCAAAGATTAATACTTGGATGTATTACATAAAACTTTTAAACAGCTAGTAACTACCCTCTACTTCTTCAGTGATGCCTCGTGTACTTTAATTAGCCGGTATTGTTTCGCATTCGATGCATGCTCTACTGACGCTATGCTACGACAGTTCAATAAGTGAAGCAACGATATGAAAAACTACTGAAACAAAGAGCCTTCTACACTAGTGGACAAAACTAAGCGCAAATTCAGGTTTTTTCTCTTTACAATGCATGTATTCGAGGATGATTTTGGACAACTTTTACTGATTGTTTGAACAAAAACTTTGCATAGACCAAGAGCAAATGATCAGAGCTGCCCTCTACGAAATTATCAAGATTTGGTTTCAAAAGCTAAGCAGTTTTTTCCGGGTGAAGTTGTAAGAAACACTTGAGTTCAGTAAGTTGTCTGTCACACTGAACAATTCAATTATAGTGCTTAAAATGTTTCACATCGCATGAACAACATTTTCCCCCGCTTTTTCTAGAAAGAAGTTCACACCGATGCAACCCTTGGTGCAGTTGGTGAAAGCTGGTATTTTCAAACCCAAAAAAACTGGTAATTCTTTGAGGATCAAGTTAACATCCCCCCCCCCCCCCCCACCGCCTATAGCCGTTTGGGGGGATGTTAACTTGGTTCTAAGTTAGAAACTTTCAGCCACTCAGAATCGAGCATTTTACATGCAGCGCTTAGCAAATTCAATGCGAACTAAATGCTGGGGTGGAAGATTTTAACTTGGTCTATCTAAGAGGAGGATGTTAACTTGATTAATTTGATCCTTCTTTGAAACTAAATTTTGATAATTTCATAGAGGGCAACTCTGTTCATTTGCTCTTTGTCTATATCCAAAATCATCCATAAACAAGCATCTTAGAGAGAGAGAAAAACTTGAGTTTTAGCCTTATTTTGTCAACTAATGTACTAACAAGACCAACTACCAATGAAATTGTGTTATGTCATGCTGCTGCAAGAAGCAAAAGAGATACCATTCCATTCATTTACAACACAATTTTGGCTCAAAATCTGGCTCCACTAATTTGACTCAAAATCAGTGAATTTAACAAAGCCACTAAACTGGCAAAAACTGATTTAACACAAAGCGCCTGGTAATAATAATTTCCTACTCTTTATATTCGTAGTCTGGGGAAAAGGGGGGGGGTTAGACGAGTTTCGAAAATGAAGAATGTGAATTTCGAAAAGAATCAAACTTTCAGAAATGAAAATAAATGGTATCGGAGATGGCTGATAACGTTTAGGCAACTATTAGTTTATCCTAGATCGCAGATACACAAAAGGACAAAAATCAACGCAACTTCTGAGATTTTCCTTCAAAAATTCTTTTTTTTTCACAGACATTAGCGAGCTAAATTTAGTTCAAACTCGATAAAACTTAAGATTCAGATCGAACCACAGAAAACAATCAGAGTTAAACCCCATTTGAAAGTATCTGTATTCAGGTTGAAATATTTTCCAGTTTTCTGGATCTCAACCTGCCAGTTTTCAATGAGTCAATGAAAGACGTTTTTACAAACGCGTGAAATAGTATGTAGGATTAATTCGTGTATTCAGTCGGATAACCTGTACAAAGCAATTCAACGCATTAACTAACTTTGGAAAAATCGCTTATTCCAGATATCCTGGGCGACGTTCGTTGAAAATGCAAAATGAAGAATGGAGCTATATTAGTTCTTAAACTCTTAGTCCAATAAACTATTTAAATTTCATCAATTTTCAAAAAACACATTAAATCCAAGATTTGAACACCGCAACTCGTTTATGTTGCGTTGTATATTAATAATTTGGTTTAGCGCCTGAAATGATTTTGATGATTGACTTCAAGATTTTATGTTTGCAAATGAAAATCTAAATTCATTGCTAGTAGTATTCTAAATACAAAAGTTTGTTCTGGCTTTTGCCGAACTATCATATAACTATATGGCAAGTTTCTACTTTGTCGTATGTCGTCTCTGGTTCGAGGTCTTCTTCCAATTCCGGGTAGTTCTGTTATCGTTCGGAATATTCGCTCTGATCTATTGAGTCGTAGAGACATTTCGATTAAATTATCGTCGTATAACATTTTGTAAATGTTTTGTCTAAATTCTAATCTTTTATTGGTTAATTCTAAGCTATTAAGGTCTTGTTCGAGACTTATGGTCGCACCAGATGAGTTAGGACCGATGGGTATAACTCATAGAGTAATTTCGGATAGGGTACACCGTCTGCTCGTCACGCTATCTTATTTTCGGCCGGATAGATTCGTGCAACTTCTTAGTCTAATACCGATCCTAATCTTACTCTTATACTATCTAGTCTCAGGTTGTTTAACTAGTCTCTGCTAGGCTCAATAGATCTAGGGTATACTGGTTTATTGCGGTTGCTGAAGTCTTCTTGGAGAGTCAACTAATTTCTAAGTTAAATTCAAATCTCTCTGGTGCTGAAATTACAAGTAATTTCAGCACTTACAAATAAGTGGATTGTTAGTTAGATGGATCATGATTGGTTAATATTAAATACTTTACATTGGTAAAACATCTAATTTATCCAATCATAAAATGTAGTTTAGATCAGGTTCCACCCATCCGGGTTTTACAGAGTTTTTTAGAATAGTTTTTCTGCAATTCGAAGGATGGATGATGGACGTTGGTATCTGGCGAACATCATATTTCTTGTCCGTTTTCTCTTGTTAGAGAAGTTCCAGGATGCTTGATTTAGGGACATCAAACGTTGTGTCTTCTTGCGACAACGACTGTGTTTCCGCAACAAACTCAAATCTGATTTCAGAATGGTTGGCTGTGTCAGGTTTTTCTGATTCTCGTGGAGAACTTCTTTTGTGTCTGATCTTGTCTGGGAATGGCGTGGAGATTGTGCGTGGAGGGGATGCCTGGTTACTCGGATCTGTACGTATACTTGAATATCGAGGTGGTCATTGGTCTAGTTCAATGAAGTCCTTTTCTGCGAAGTCAAGTCGTACTCTAAATCCTTTGAGTTGTGATTGTGGGCGGCATATTGATTGTGGTTGGCCATTCTTTTTCGAGTGTAGTGGGGTCGTTTTGTCTTTGGATGTTCGTCCTTGGTGTTGTATTCTGATCTATGTATTGCATAATGTAATTTACATTTTATAAAACTTTTATTAGTTTAATATTTTTTAATTATGATTTTAGTTAGTTGTTTCCACAAAAGCTTTTTGTTTTAGTTCAGTTATTTTGAAGAGTTACTCACCCTTGAGTAGCTCTTATTAAAAATAGGAGTGTGTGTCACAAAGCGTGGATGTAGCGCGGTGGGTTAGGCCGGTTATAGAGCATGCTCAGGACGTCCTTCCTGGTGGGTTAGGCCAGGAGTGGGAGTATGATTGCATGCGGTTTTTGTGAGAGGTCCTGTTATGT